CTTTCCCTAGTTTTCTGGAAGACTGTGAGCAAGCAACAAAATATAAACAGAACAGCACTTGGCACATTTATACATTTTTTTACCTTTTACAATTAAGTTTCTATCTTGAACTGTATTATTATTTTCAGATTTTTTTAAAAACAACTACTCTCCACAATCAATACTCTTTTCCCTTACTCTTGATCTTAATTTCCAAGCTGTCTCAGCTCCAAACACCTCCCTGCAGAAAATAATCTAGCCAATTTCATCACTGTTATAGAAATGTCAATGTCATTTGACTCTTAACAGGGATCTTTATCTCAAATTTGGAGTGTAAAAGAAAAGACAGGCTACCTAGCTGCTCTTCTCGTATATGCATGTAGATGTTATGAACTGGAAATCACAGCGTGGCCCTAGAACTAGAATAGGAAATCCCAATAAGAGCATTAAAGACCAGAAATAACAGAAAGGAACAAGAGAAAGAGTTGCATCAGTGAGGCAAATACTAGAAAAGTGCATTTAGCTAGAGCAATTGGATTTTTAGAGGAAGTAAAAAAAATGCAGAAATAATGACCTCCTCTAGAATACGTGCGAGGCTGTTGAAATTTTTATTACATTCAAAGACTTGAAGAACAATCTGTACAGCTTATCAAGAAGTAAGTTGAATAGTGACTATATTACAATTTAAGACCACCTTACTTGGATAAAGTGCTAGATAGAAAAGAGCTCTTTGATGGTAAAAAGTATAAAAGAAGCAATAATGGAAACCAAAGAGAGGCAGATTCTATCTGGAAGTAGAAGTTCCCATTTTAAAAGATTTTAACAGAAATGAAGGGAGATGATTAAGTTCTGTAACGCTTTTAGGGAAATGGGGTTTTAACCCACTGACACCTTCAAACAAGACTGGATGTTTCCTGAATAAAGTGCTGTAACCAAACATGAATTTTGTTTTAGTCAAACACAATTTCTTTGTTGACTGAAATTTGAGATTTTAGATACACAGCAGGTGAGTTTTGATGGTTTGTTTTTTCTGTATTTAATATGTATGATTCGTAATTATAGAAAGAAAACACTGGATAGTTTATCTTCCATATGTAAATATGAAAAACAATTAAAATATTATTTCTTCAGTGCAGAGAGAATTAATCACGAATTGTGTTCAGAATCAAGACAATGCATGCTTGTCACTTCAACAACTCCATTTCTCATCTTTTGGTGCAGTAACTATGATTTTTATAATCATTACTTTATGATCTCCTACACTTTAACCTGTTACCTATGCCATCAAAATATTATAGCATAAGGCAAAATGTATTTATCCACTTAAATCTATCTCCTTTTACACAAGACTGTAGCAATTTTTTCTTCTCTGGCACTACTTTATGAACAATAAATCAACAGCATGAACAGCATGGCCAAAAGTTGAGCTTTGCTTTCCCACATATACCACTTTTTCAATTGAAATTGCCAGGCTTGTAAAGGTGCTTTTAGGCACAATTAGAATTAACCACTCAGATTTGTAATTAGAACATCACTAAGTTCAACGCAATCTCCCAGCCCAGACAGACAAAAATCTCCATCTCTATTTACCCGTATTTCAGTTTCAAATTCCTTTTCCTGTCCAGATATCCAAAATCCTTGACTATACTCTCATTATTTCATACCTTCAGTGCTGTACTGTTGCTTTGATGCCAGCTGCAGACTGATTATCTTTCAAGAGATATACTATACTGTTGCTCATTTCACCCTGTGTGTCAGTCACAACTTGATCACAGTACTCCTGTCTCCACACCTCTGTCCCGGCTTCACTACATCAAATCAAAGTCCTTCTCTTTTGTCCCTAAACACTCTGCCTTGTTCTTTAAACTGAATCTTCTAGAAAAAACAGCTATTTCCTCTTGCTTTTGCTCTGTCAATGATGACACTTTCATCTGCCTTTTTGATGATCCTTCAAGTGTCTCTGCATTCCCTTTCATGCTATGCTTTGCACGTGGGAAAACCCTGTAAAGCTGTCTTAATTTTATCTTACCATCCCTCCTTGAAGACCGCTTCAGTTGTAATGCCTATAAATCATTCCCATATGGCACTTATTAAGCAAGTAATAATCTGTGACTTTTCTGCTCATCTCTGCTCATTATATTATTATCTCATCTTCTTAACCCAACTCTGTCTTGTTTGTCTGTGTTATCTTCCTCTGGTCTCTTGCCTGACGCACATAATGCGTGCTTTGCATAAGAAGAATTGTCTTTGTTTTATTAATAAAACACCTCGGTAGCACTTTTTAAGACAGACCTCTGGTTACTGGATGTCCTACTTGCAAATAAAAAGCAAAATAAACCCCATTAACTTTAAAAAATATCCAAGTGGGTAGCTCATGTACTGAAGAACTAGAAACACAGAACAGTTATCTTATTTTTTTATCATAAATTTTTAAGGCTACGTGGTATTGAAATGATGTATAAATAATTTTTATTAATATCTAGTCCTTTGAAGTGCCTCACAGAGTGGCATATATACATATAATTTTTGTTGCTCAAAAAAAGTAAAGCTGTGATTTTGTATTTGAATACTTTAGTTAGCTTTTCCATAAGCAAACAGTGCTTTATTAAATGTTCAACTTACAATTCTGCTGTGTACTGGGGGATATGATCAGGAATTTTGTTGAGTTTCTGATTGGAGCAGTCCACTGTGGTCCCTTCACAGCGACATTTCTCAGGGCAAGCCAAATCTGCAAAGCAGTCTCCACTTAATTTGGATCTGTAATCTTCAGTGCCTGTGGAAGAGTCAAGTCAAAATACAGATACTGAGTCAATAAAATAGAAGATTCGCTTCTTGTGAGAAGGCTGAAAAGATGCCTGCAGTGCAGATAACGGGTGGGCAACTTGGGAAATGTATGATAAACTTTGTGATACTGAACAGACACAAGGGCTTCAAGAGAGGGTTAAATATAGGGGCTTAAGATATGCTGGAAAAAGAAACTGTGACCAACTTCACATAACAGGATAACATTAACTTGAGCTTTTCACAGCTGTACTTTCTGCTGATTATGTTGTCAGCCAATCTAGCCTTGTTCATAACTAATCTCACAAATGCCATGGATTCTTTTAGAATTTATTTTCTTTCTCTGTATGAAGAACAAATAGATCTTGAATGCCACCTTTTCTCTTTCTCTTGTTATAAATTTGTATTGTCGGCTGGACTTCATTAGCTATTCTTATTTTTTTTTTACAGTCCAAATACTCCACATCATCTCAAACACATAAGGTTGAAAGCCCTGTTTTCAGCTTTAATTTAAAAAATGTGTGATCCTGACTTAAGCCTCAGCAGCTTGCCATGCTGTAGAAAGCTGCGTGACGTTCCATGGTGCTTGACAGAACCATGTTTTACTCATACCTCACAACCACATGGTTAGATCAAGCACAACAGAAAATCTCGCTACATTATCAAAACTGCATCCATTTGGCCAAGGGTAAGAGCAAGGGAAAAGAGGAAGGAGTAGGTATATACAAGTTACAGAAGCATTTGAAGTTTTACATGACATGGCATTCGTATTACTGAATGTCCAGTGCCACAGTAACAGTATTACTGTCACAGATTAAATCAAAAATCAAAAATAAAAAAAAGGAACAAAAAGAACCACATTTAAAGTTTCCTCCACCATTTCCCAGAGTCAGTCAAAGAAAATGTCCTAAACATATTGGGAGATTCAGGAGAAAACATTCAGTAAGGAACTGAGGGTGGGTGACAAAGAAAACAAAGAGAAGCTGAAAGGACCTGTGGGTTCTTCTTGGACAAAGGTGAAAAGACTGAGACTAGTAGGAGGTGCATCAGGGCTGGGAGGTACACTTGTGATTTATCTCAGACACTGAATTTTACTTACAGCCAAAATGGTGAACTCCTGAAAAAGTAAAGATAGCCAAGAAGGAAAGAAAGACAGAGTAATCCCAATTAAGACAAAAACATGAACTAAGTTCTCATGTTCTCTACTCAACTTTACTTGATTAGAAGATATTGCTAGGGAGTACCATCTTCAGCAGAGAGGAGGAATAACTCATTTTAAGTGGCATCAAAAAGTGAAAAAAGATTGGGGTTAATTCCAGGTTTCATATAGGATGACAATGCCTCCTATGCGTTGTTCTTCTCTGTTTTGAATGTATTCTTTGAAAGCTGCTCCCTTGAACACATATACATGCTATGCCACTTAAAACCTTAGTAAACCGAAATGTATGAGAAACAGATTTCTCAGGGGAAGAAAAAAAAAACCCACAACAGCCATCACATAGTATGCTATCTAGCGTTTGTAAATATCTAAGTACATATGACATAACCATGGAATATTTCTACGAGCTGGCAGACAAAGAATATTATTTCAAATTAATGATTTCATATGTGTATAACCTTTATTCTTCTAAATGACTATAATGAAATTCTACCAAGACTTCCTAGTGTCTGCAGAGCAAGATCTCCCAATGACATATTTAAAACAAATATAAAAAAAAATTGATTTTTAGAGAAATGCTAACATTTTAACAGTATTTGCTGAAGTGTGAAGAAGTGGTTTTTAGCATTTTGAAATATCCAAAAAGCAAGGCTATGAATATAATTTTTCTATTCCTGTGTCCAGAGAAAATCACTTTTAGAAGCTAAAGGTAAACAACTAAAATATTCGGGGACAAGGTCTTCAACAACTAAAATAATTTTATGCAGCATGTCCCTGAAACCTGATAGAGAGAGAAAGTACAGAAGTTGTATTTCAAGAAGCAAGTCTGTAGCACTTTTTTTCCCCCCAGGATTAGCATTTTTGAAAGGGTACGTAAACAAACGTAAACTGCATGTGTGGCCACATTATAAACAGGCTGTGAAGACATTTGCTGGCAAGAAAAAGCTTCTAACTCAGAGACAAAAGTTGTGCTGGCAAGGTTGAGTAGTAGCCACTCTGTGGCAGGAACACAGCTGTTTTACTCATTAAGAAATTGAGTGGTACTACAGGTTTGAGAAATTGAATCCCCCTCTGGTTTATGCTGCTTTAAAACACATTTTTGTGGCTGCCAATGTTGACAAATTGTAGTCTTATTTTCTATTCCATTTTGTCTTTTCTTCATATTCAACCCAGCGTATTAGTAAAAGAGCATGAAAAAATTCACATCATTGCTGCAAATTTAAGTGATACATCACACAGCATTAGGAGAAGAGCTGTTAAAACATACCAGCTTAAAAGACAAAGAATAAGACCGCAGAATGACAGTATACCTGTAGTACTTGAAAGAACAAGTGCACTGGTGTCATAATCAGTTATTGCAGATATCTTTCTAGATATTAAACAATGGTAGAAAACCCTGCTTGTAAATTACACACTGTAATTCATCAATAGATTCATTATTCACGTTTTTATTTTGCCAATCAATCATTATAATCATTATGTTAGGAACGTAATGCAAGTGCATCATTGTTTTTTTTCTATTAAGAAATCAGTGCACATACCTGACAAGCAAGGTAAACAAAGAAACAAACATATTTCAAAGAGCTAGGGCCAACATCAGAAAATCTTTTGTGAAAGTATCACAGACTTATTGTAGCTTAAAGCAGTGTGCAGATTGTTGTTTCACGCCAACTCTAAAGTCATATTTTCTTTAATGGAAAGCATTTCTGATTCATTGTGTGTGTGTGACCACAGAACGCCTTTAATGAAGAATATCAGCTTTCTTTTCCAAGCATTCCACTGTGTTTTTGCAAACACAAGGAAGGTGAGCAAGCAGTAGTTGCAGCCAGTGTAGAGCACAAAAGCAAGGCAAGAAAATGTTAATATGTAAAACACTGATTATTTTTTTTAAGTTGTACTAGCTCTTTGATAGTAGTATTTTTTCCTGTGTTTAAAAGCAGCTCAGGAGCTACATTTTAAAAACAAGAGTGGCAGAGAGGTAAGGTACAAGGTAAGTAAAGGTGTCAATTGAAATATGAACTAGCAGGTGCAACCTTCTAAATAATTTAAGTAGAGGCATAATTTTAGTATGCAAATTTGTGAGACAAAAAAGTAAATGGAGCTGCATGCTAAGCTCATATTCAGAAAACAGAACTATTAGTAATCTACAAAGGAAAAACTAAGTCTAGCTACAGGTATTGACTAATGTTAATACACATGCATCAGTTTCCTAAAAGCTATAACAAACTTTGCTTTTTTGGGGAAAGGGAGAGAATATCTGCAGTTAGTCAACCTTACTGCAGAGCCAAACCTACCTGGAATGAAATACTGTTCTTTAGCTAAATAAAGAGAAAAAAAAAAAAAATAGAAGATGCACCTGAATGTCAGCAAGCAAAGAGTGAGTTTTATTAGATTAAGTATGGACTACAGTTAACTACAGATAATTAAGTGAAAAAATGTGTATTCACAGTGAGAGCTGATAAAAAACAAAGTGTGAATAGTCATAAATGTATCCGGAACATGAGTAACAAACAGTTCTCATCTGGTGTTTGCACTTGAGACTGAATAAATTGTAGAATGTGAAATGCACCTGGAACAGCTGGATACCATATGACAAAAGTTAGGATTTAAAGAAATGTAAGTAGGAAATGGAATAAGATTAGAAAAAGAAAACAGTAAATTTCAGTATGAGGTAAGCTCCCTGTATAAAATGAATATGTCATGTTTCCATATTTAGCTAGAAATTTTTAGATCTTTCACATACTCCAGAGCCTTGTGGAAATTCTTCCAAAATGATTTATGTCAGTGATACTTGTAGTGAATAACTTTAGCATTTCAGTCTGAAGTATATATTGCATTTCTTTTGTTAGATTTAATGCTACTCAGAAATAGCGCCAAATGCATTAACTATAGTAATGTTCCGTGATCCAATAGTCTATGACTTCCATGATTTCCCCCCTTCAGTCAAAGAACTAAAAAAGATTCTGCAATGTTTAATAATTCCGTAGAGAGCCAGCTGCCTTCATTAGAACTTCTATAACCACTGGTTTTGCCAATAGAAGAAAAATAGCAGCTGAACTAAGAAAATTACCTGAGCAGCGGAATTTCTTGCTTTTGATCTGGCCAATCCTTTTGTTTGCCAGACGGCGGGGGCTGGTGCAACGGGCACCACTGGTCTCAATGGGGTTTGTATGAAGATAATCCGCCAGCCACTTCAGATGGCAGTCGCAGATAAATGGGTTCTGAGCCAAATGCCTTTCATGAAGAAAAAAATGATAATGTCACACGTTATTTCCCTTTGGCCTCAGCAGTTCCCAATATTTTTAGTACACTGTAGAATATGAAGTCATAGTAAAGACAACCATAAACAAGAGCATACATACAAGGTCTGAATTGCACGCAGGGGTGAGAAGGTGCCTTTTGCAATCGTCTGAAGCTTATTATCATACAGAGAAAGAAGATTCAAGTTGTGCAGATCTTGAAAAGCATCAACTCGTAGGCAGTTGATCTTGTTGGCATTCAATAATCTGTTTAGTGGAAGACAGTTTTAAAATTGAAATAACTTGTTCAGTGTCGCTGCAGCTTCAGCATTTGTCAGGTCATTTTTTGTGCTCACTTGTAACCAGAACAAGAGGTATAGTATCAAATATTAATAGACAGTGACATAAAGCATTTCAATTAAATGAAATATCTTATCTAGGTGATCTGAAATGATCCCTAAATATTTCCACCTTGGAATTGAAAAGCATGGGGTTATTCAGCTAAAATCAAATCTCTTGTATGTGACAGTAAAACGTGTCTGTGTGGTATTTGCCCGTGCAAAGAAACTAGCTTAAAAAATCAAGCATCTGCAAGGAAAACTACTTCCTTTTGCCAAATAAATAAATAAACAAACAAAAAAGGAACTGAACACTGTGTTCATTAGCTGGAAGAGATGTGCAGTGGCACTTTTAATTATATGTTACTAATCAGCATGCTGCCGCATTAACAGAGTTGTAGTAAAAACTGGTGGCATGGAATATATCCAAATCTGTCTTGGATCCTTTTTCTTCTCCATCTTCAAAGGGAACCTTTTCTTCCCTGCACCTCCCAGACTTCTAAAGTTAAAACAAACAAGCCAATCTAAACCAACTCCTTCATACTTTTGAAGAGAAAAAAATTTAAAATGTCATTCAACTAGATGCACTTTTTATAACACACCCTTATTTTTTTTTTCAATTTCCAGCCAGAAATAGAATAGAATGGTGGATTTGAAAACCAATGCTCTGATAAAAAGTTTCAGCACACAAGCAGAAATTTACTTAAACTGAAATGTATTGTCTATGCAAAGTATATCAAGCTATGGAGATTTTTTTAAATACAGAAGTTCAGAGATGGCTCTTCCTTTTTTTTTACAACGTTTCAAGTATGGTTTTATAACTAAAATCTAAAAGGAAAACAGGAATGCAAACCCCCCACCACTGTACTAGTTTGTGACTACAATAAATAAATATAAACCTCTAGGTGGTGCTAGAACTTGCATTTTCTCTGTATTCCTGTTTCACCATCTTCATTGAGTTGTTAGCAATGGACATTCTGCCAATCACTATACAATGAAGTCTGGACATTAAATACTTTTATTCAAGTGGGAAGAAGTTTTAAATTCTTTAAGAAGCTTTAAACCAACAAATCAGTTATTCTGGGACAATTTAATCCAAAAACCACCACCACTGTTATATGGCTTATTTCACAAATTTCTTTTATGCAGTACAACTAGAGTACAGCCTCTTCTGATGAATATTGACAATATTTGATAAATGTATCACCACGACATTCTTCTAAATTCCCAGTATTAAATCTAAATAGAAACTGTCTGTAAGATTACACATGGACATTTCCAAAGTGGTAAATGAAACAGGAGCTGGAGTTCAAAGAATTGTACAGACATGAGTGTCAGAAAACATTAAAAGTCATCAGTGAAACTGTACTGCAACTCTCTACTTCCATGGGTACGACCAGAAATATAATTACACAGCATTTCCACTACATATTTTCTCTGTATAAAACACACAAATATTCCTTCTGTGGTTCTCACACCACCTTATAAATACTATTTTCTGTATACAAGGCAAGACAATATCATATCTTACATATTTTATCCTTATAAATTCCACACAAGAGAACAGTTTCATTTTATCATTTTAGGCAAAGACATGAACTGAGATATGATCAAATTGGGGATGAATGGCAAGCTGGCCTACAACAGTCTTGACTTCTTTGGCTTTAACATAATTTGTTTTTATTATATTCTGATCTTACAGACGGGATTCCCTGCCAGTTCTTCTCCCGGCATAAATCTCTCATCATGTTTACCCTTCTGAATTTTCCTAAAATAGAATAAATATTAAAAAAATACTTACAGCAGTTGCAGAGAAAAGAGTCCTTCAAAGAGGCCCTTTGGAAGTTCTGTAATTTTATTCCCATACAGGACCCTGTAACAGGAAATAATCAAGCATAGAAAGCCACTATTATGAAAGGTACATACTATGTGATTTCAACTCTTAAAATAAAGAAATTTCCATGATCCTGAAGGGAAATGAATACCAACAATTTGATACTTGTAAGATCCTTCTGGTCCTGGGAGGTAGCAGGATCATACATTTTCTCAAAAGGTGTGTTGCCCAAAGAGCTCTCAGCAGAATCAGCACCTCACTGTTTACAGTCTTATCAAGGGATGTTGGTAAGTGGATTTGCTGTTAGTAAGAGTGACTAACTGTGGAATAAAAGAAGTGTTCAATTTTCTTCAATTCTTTGCCATGATCATATTTATAAAAAAAACCCATACATTCTTAGTGTCCAGCTGTGATACTGCATTCAATTACCACTCCAAAATACTGAAATTATTTTTACAGCATTCAGAATTAATCAAATTTATATCAAAATTCTGCGGGGAGATGAAAATTCAAGACAATTTCACTATAAGAGGGTGAGAAATTTGCTTTTGTTTTTATAGGTCAAACATATACCTACAGTGAATTAAGTGAACGTAAGCCCTGGAAAGCATCTGGAGCTGCTTCAGAGATCTGGTTATTGCTCAGGTCACTGAAATAAAGGAAATATGATTCAATTAATTCAAGCTATTCTCAACATAGCAAACATTAAAATAATGTAATTAGAATTGGACAGGGAAGTGAGAGAGAAATTAAAACATTTACATGAAACACTGCCAAAGAATTTTAATATAAAACCACTAAAATTGCCAGTACACTGGAACAAAATGCATGGTAAATAACAGACCTTTCAAATGCTTGAAAAAAAAACCTTACAAAAACATTTACTTTTCCTAATTGCTTAAGTACATTTTAGAAAGAATTGCTTGTTATCACCATGGAACTATACAAACTCAAAGATATTCTGAAATAATAGTGGCTTATCCCCATTAATTTATTTGTTTATAGAAGAGTTGCCACAGTAACATATTGCTTCTATGCAGAACCATATCAGGTAAGTTCAATATTCGGTAAAAAAAATACTAACTTGACCAATACGCTAGACAGTCTTACGGTCATGGTCAAACTTTCTTAAATGCTCACACATTGACTGCAGTTCCTCTCGTTTTTTATTTTTATGTACAGATATACAGATATGTGTATGTGTGTATGTATATATATATATATGAAAATAAAAGAATAAAAATCTAAATTATTGGGTACGTACATTCTTCGAAGCTTTTTATATGGTGAGAAAGCTCCAGGAGGTATGACCTTGATTGAATTTTGTTCTAACCGTCTGCAAAAGAACGGAAACAACATAAAAATACAAAACCCAAGCCAAACAGCAATCTAAAGCCATAACAAACTAAAAGGGATAGACTTTAACAAAGAAGGTTGCTTTTGCTTTCTTTTTCAGTATAATTCTTATCTTGAGAAAAAAGGTCATTTCATTTTAGTTTTAATTACAAAAAAATAAGGTTTTGTCTGTAAAACCAAACCTTGTACCCTATGGAGTGTAATGTTGTAAATTAAAATCCAATCTTTGTATCTAAAGAAAACTTATTTTCAGAGCATTTCAGGTGTTAATTGACTCCTAATGCATTATTCACATACAGCAAGTTTTATTCAGAAATGTCTAAAGACTTTTGTGGGTTAATCATTGAAATATGAAAACCACAGGAAAGGGGAGAGGAACGTTCCTACAGAACAAATAATGTACGTTGCCACCTGCAATAAGGCAAAAGCCGTATTTTTCAACACGCGCACATGATTTCTTTAGATACAGTATGTAACACTTTAAGATATAATACTAAGATTGAACAGGCACACTTCTAACTTATTTAAACAAGTATTTTAATTTAAAATTGTAGTTTATGTTACTGGCCACATTTGCTTTGTATGTGTACTAACTGTGACTGAAACTTGCCATACTTCAAAGTGTGAATTTGCTGATGGAAACAGTTTTCTAAGAATTTTTTGAACTTCCAGAGCTTTGCATATGGGAGATCTATGCTGACGCAGACCTATGGCCCACTTGCCAACAAGACAAGACAGATTCAGCAATAAGCACATCTAAAATAGCAGCTACTTCTTCACACACCACAGTATTCATGGTTATGGCAGTGTAAAAAATTCTATTATGTAGACATAAGGAATGAAACTATACTAAAAAGTACAACAGGAAAAGGCGGCATTATTCAAACTACATAACATGCACATCTAAAAAGCTTTCTCTTTCCCTCTTTCATAGACAGGTAATGACTCTATAATCTATGTATATAAAGAAAATGCCAAAAATCTATTTAACACAGGGAATCAACATTCTATAGACTTTACTGCACTACTTCAAATTACATCGACATCAACTCCAAATCTAGAGGTCAAAAAGCCTTTTTAAATTTAGATGCACAAATATTAGCCTATATCTTTCCTTTCATCCTTTCACCCTTGTCCTATTAACTCTCTTCCATTTCACTTCTCCTTCGATAGAGACATATAAGTGTCTGTGTGTGCAGTGTAACTAATAAGCTTTGAGTAAGCCTTTCCGAGAAACTATTCTTAAGACAATTGTTTCTGTTTTTAAAGTTTGTCCAGAGATCATGGTACAGCTGATCTGAAGAAAGATTTTTTGCTGCCTTTGTGAAGTTTTGATGAGATGGAGATATTTATACATTTAATACTCAAAATCTCTCAAGCCTAGCCATGCTTCACCTTAGCAGAATTTATTCTTGAGTGGCTTATAAAGAAGCGAAGAAAAAACCCAAAAGCCTCAAAATATCTTCCTGACACACAGAAAATCTCACTTCATCAGAGCTGTTTTAGACAGGGTTCATGTTTTAAAAATGTCCTTAATCAGGAAATTGTTGCCACTTTGCTACAGTTTTCAGGTATGTTTTAAATCAGGAAATCCCATGGCACAAGACTGTTAACTTTTTCCATAAACACAATATTCTTTCATACGCTTTCTTCACCTTGGCTGAGCCTTTTTGACCCATGAAAAACATTTTTCATCAGACCAGGAGTACTGACTAGGCTACAAAGGAACAAGGTAAACCTTCTGTACACTTGAGTAGATACAGAAGGTGAACATCTGAGTAAGTAAAATCTTACTTAAGTTAAATGTCAGCACCAAGTTAGACCAAACCCAAGTATTTTCTGTTCTTGCACTACATTTTTAGCTTAGTTTACCCACAAAATAAAGATTATGCACGCTTATCATCTAGGTAGTTTTCTAGTTGGCTGGCTAGGTCAAAGAGAGGTAAAACCTTCAGATAATAAGTTTCTAAAAATTTCCTTATTTTAGCAATGGGAAGGAGTTGAGAAACCAAATTAACCCAGCCATGAAGGGAATGGCTGCCATCCATCCATTCCTGTTACACACTCTATTTGGCAGGAACCAACTGCCTAACCACCAGGGACAGCCTGACCAGACATTTATCAGATGTGTAGCTTTGAAAACCAGCCAAAGAATATCTTGCACAGGGAAACACATAGCGCATATGCAGAGGACCGGAAAGGGGAGGAGGGTTAAAAAGGACAGGGAAGGATTAGGCCATGTTACAGAGAAGGACGTGAATTGCTGGAGAGTGAGACACTGGGGAAACATACCTCTGGGTATTACGGGAAAGACATATTGCAGTGGCAGATATTGCAGTGGCACTGCTCCTTCATGAAGCTGACACTAGCCTCATTTATAAATGCTCCTTATTAGCCTATGATGTAGAGATGTGTAACCTAGTGCTAGAAGTTCGCCTATGTTTAAACACATAATGTTCTTAACTAGACATGGTATGGATTGTAACTTGAGAAAGACAAGGTCTAGAGTTAAAAAAAGATACAAAAGTATTTTCCAGTTTATTCTTTCAATTTAAGATACATTAGTTCCATAAACTGAAGAACCTCACAGGATACATGTATGCCATTTTTTATTAAAAGATGGAATAGCTGGTTTCACTTACTGCTGTCCAATTTGTCTACAAATTATATGGGTCCAAAACCTGAAGAAGTCCTACTACAGTGCATTTCTGAAAGCTAATTTTCTAGCAGTTCTGATAAAGCAAGCTACCAATTCACTGGTGGATATGTAAAATGAACTCCATGTTGACTTTACCTAACATTTCCTTTTAGTGAGAAATTTATAGTCTAATAGACAGACTGTGCAGTGCTAGGATAAATTTACAAGATTTTCTGGATAAAGGATTTGTTATAGTAGGATCATCTAAGTACATTTTTTCTTAAGTCACGCCAAAGTGTTTGCACTAAAACACATCACATTTTATAAAATAAGAGTAGCATAAGAAAGGAAAAGTAAGATTATATAAGTGCAGAAGAAAAATATTTTATACCCCACTTTGTCTGTAAAGAAAGTAAAACAATTTCACATTTTCAAGCATTGTTACCCTCTAATCTTTTGCTTTATCTTTCTAAAATCAGCTGAATTTCAGAATGCAAATTTGTAACCACCATTCCAGAGAAAATCTAATTAGATATATTCCAGGGTCACAACGCACAGACAGACTAATATCTAAAGGAAATTTGCATTGTAATGATAAACCCCATAGTAATTAAAAATCCTTTATATTAATCCTCATTTTAAATGAAGCATTTTTAATTCTGGAATAGGATGGGTTGTATCTGGTACTGAAAACATCAGCTGTTATATTCTCGCAAATGACATGGCCAGAAGTACCACTAAATCACAGAAGAACAAAAACCTAGCATCAGTATTTTTCCATGGAACTGTATTAAATTTTATGCACAACATCTTTTCAAAGTTATCCCAGAAGCCACTCTTTCTTACAAATGATCATCTATGTATCATAAACAGTGCCTTGGTGGTTTCTTTTTCAAAAGCCACAGTCAATTTCAGTAGCATATTTAATAAGATAAGATAATGGAGGAAGACAGTTAAGTACATGTTTCATCAAAGCGTGCACTGCTTCATGTATAAGAAGTACTGTGCCCATCACCACACAAACACTAATTAATGCTCTTAGTATTAAGTCTCCTGCTCCTTTTAGTGTTTCACTTCAAAGAAGTCCTGCATCAATACATAAGAGTTTTACTGTCTTTTAACACTGTCAAACTGGTTAAAATCTTTTTTGAAGACTATTCCCTAATCTCCTATCTAGGAAATGTACTGTGAA